TCTGCAGTACATACCAATGGATGTGATCAAGGATATCACGTACATTGCCTACATCTATAATATTGTCTTCAGTACTATCCCGGCACAATTATATTGCCCGACCTTGAAAAATTAACTTCATATATAGTTAGAGTATTTTATTTTGAAGTTGTAGCAAACCCAACACAAATTTGAACAAATAATAAATGTAGGGTGCAATTATAGAATGTACATTATTTTATTAGTTAGTGGGTTGGATGCCTTGTAAATTAGTAGTAGCATGTTTGGAGGTTGTTTAGTTGTGCAAACGAAATAATCTGTCCATGTATTGATAGGTTCGATGCAGATTTGTATTGATAGGATCGATGCAATTAAAATTATGAACGATAGTACACACCTTTTAAGGAAATTATTTAATTGAGTACGTGTTTGTAAGTATAGTTTTTTTATTAAATTTGGGATAAAATTAGACAGAGAACTGATAAAATTTTAATCAAAAATAATTGAAAAATACTTAATTCTCGTTTTATCATACACTCTGGTATAACAAGATCATCAATTCCTTGCACTTTATTCCCGTTGAACAAGGTATCAAAGTATGACCTTCATCTCTCTTTTATTTCCTCGACGTCCTTTGATCGACATCCTTCACACACTTAACTTTTCTGAAATCTTGACTCCAACGGTCACGAAGGCGATCAAGTCTGTAGATGTCTTTTTCTCCTTCCTTAAAGTCCAATTTTACATACAATTCCTTGTTCACTTTTCTTTGCTCTTCCTTCACAGCTTTCTTTGATCTTCCTCTAGCCTCCTTGTACTCCTCTATGTTCTCGTCGCTCCAACTTTTTGCCCAATTTCTTATAGCATTCCCTTTTGGTGCTTATTGTTGTAACAAAATATTTGATCCTCTATGTTCTCGCTCTTATTTTGGTCCTTTTGGTCCCAAAATATTTAGCCAAATCCTAAAATTTGGAACATGATTTGGATTAATATAATGTTGGGTTAGTGACCCAACTAGGATTGACCCATCAACCATTAAGGGCCACTCGACGAACGTCCCTCAAAACCCAAGCCAACCGGGATGCCTTCTCCCGGATCGTGGCGAGGTTCGTCCCCAACTGGACCAGCCCATATCATCAAGGCCTAGCGGACACACGTACCCAAGGGTAGGCGGGTACCTTGGTCGGAAGCAATGCGAGATGCTCATCTCGTAGGACTTTGGACCCATCGGGAAACAGGAAGCAAGCTCATGGGGACGCACATCCCCACCCCTTGGCGGGAAATCAAGATCCTGGCGGGAAGCGCATTTAATGCCGAAGATTTGGTGGTTGGGATCAAGCCATCCATGCCCCGCCACATCAGCATGTCTAACCACTCACTGGCGGTATAAATAGTAGCATTTATTTCATTGTAAAGGGTTGACAACTTAGCACTCTAGCATTATAGCATTCATACCAGCTCGTAGCATAGCATTGTACGAACGGCCTCAGGGCTTTATAACCTTTGTAGTATAACCTTTGTAGTATATTAAGACATCTTATTAGGCCTCATCTTGCTTGTTAATCACTTACTTGTCACCTCTCCATCAAGAACATCGGCTTAGCACGGTACGGCCTCAGGGCTTAAGTTGTGTGGTACGCCGGTACGGTGGGAAGGTGGTTGAACGAAGACCAGGGAATCCCAAGAGGATAAACCTGTTCTCCATCAAGAACATCGGCTTAGCACGATACGGCCTCAAGGCTTAAGCCGTGCGGTACGGTGGGAAGGTGGTTGAACGAAGACCAGGGAATCCCAAAGAGGATAAACTTGTTCTCCATCAAGAACATCGGCTTAGCGCGGTACAGCCTCAGAGCTTAAGCTGTGCGGTACGGTGGGAAGGTGGTTGAACGAAGACCATGGAATCCCAAGAGGATAAACTTGGCCTCAAAACTTAAGTCGTGCGGTACAATGCTAAGGTGGCTGAACGAGGAAAGACTACCCCCCTCAAAAGGAAAAAGAAAGTTTAGCGTGGTACGGCCTCAAGGCTTAAGCTTTACGACACAGTGAGAAGATGTGGAACAGAACAGGGAAGCACATTCATCGGCAGAATAATGGTGCTTTCAAAACTGAAAAATTGGGAAAAGAAGCTCACACTTGGTACACAAAATGAATTCTTTATTCTTCGGCTGTACTGGCCGGAAAAATAAAATGAATAATTCTAGTACAAATACAAGAACGAAGAATCAGGCTTGACCGCTACCTGGAGGAACGTCCCTTGAGAGGGTCTTCGGTTTGCCTTTAGCCTGCTCAACCATTTTTCGTTCGTCCTCCTCCTGCTTATCCTTAAGATACTTCAGGCCCCCCTCGTGAGCTTCAATGAAAGATGCATTAAACCCAGCGGCGGCATAATCAAAAGGGGTAGGGAAATGGTTTTCAAAGACTGGGAGGTTGGCTGCCACCAGACCGATCATCCCCTGAGCAAAAGTATCATCGACAAGTTCGGCAAGGAAGTCTTTGTCCGCAGGAGTGGCCTCAAGCAGCTTAATTCTGGCTTCCAAGACATCAGGGCTCGTCGCCAAATACTCTCCAACGAATTTGGCCAAGTGTCGCTTCGCGACGACCTGCACCGCCTTGGTGTAACTCGGAAACTTCTGAAATGCAACAGATCTAGTCGTCTTGATCATAGAGACGTCAACCATATAAACAAGATTAGTCCCCTCGGCATCAGTCCGGCGGAACTGTACCTTGGCCCTCTCTGCAGCCTCTAGCTTAGCACGGAGCGTCTGGAGCTCCAGGGCCTGCTTACGAATGACCTCCTTCTGGGAGGCACTCTCCTGGGCAAGCTTGCCCACATCGTCGAGCTTCTCCTTCATCTTGTGAATACGACCCCTGGCCTTCGTGACCAGATCCTCAGTCTCGCCCCTCAGCTGGGCCATGTCTCCACCTTGCTTCTGGTAGGCGAACCGTGCCTTACTGAAGTAGAGGGCGGCCTTGTTAAGAGTACTGAGGCCACACTCATGAAGATCCACTGGGTCCTCATAGGTTGTGAAGTCTCGAGGAACCTTCAACCCCAACGAACAACAAATCGAAGAGGCTATCTCGCAGAACAACATCATGCACTCGGTACGAGGGCCGAGCCCAGAGAATTCAATCAGCCCCATGGAAAGGTTATGGAGCTCTGGTGGTGGAAGAACATGATCCTCCTTCTCCTTTCCCTTATCCTTCCCCTTCTCCTTAGAGGAGACGGTCTGCTTTTCGGAGGGGATTGCTTCATCATCAGACCCATCTAACAAAACTATGTCCTTAGAGGCCGGCTCGTCATGGCAGGGCTTCCTGACGAGACGCTCATATTCAACATGATCGCTGGCTCGCGACCGCGTCACACGTTGCTCTGCCCCAACGGCCGATGTTCCCTTCCCCTTGCTTTGACGACTGGGGACCGGGGGATTATCATTCAAACGACCCATGGCAGGAAGGTTGGTATAAACTCCTGCAAAAATGGAAAAGTAACGGTCAGTATTGGGAGATGTGAATAACCCTATACCCCAAGATTAGGACCGGACATACCTAAACCGACCCGAGACATAAGGGGTTCAACCAACAACCGGAGGTTTTGGACACCAAGGCTGGTGATACGATCAGCATACCCCAATTCTTCATCTGACATAACTGGGGGGGGGGGGGGGGGGGGGGGCGAACTTGATCGGGTAAGGCTTCCACCGATTAGAAAAGGGCATTGGAGAACCCACTTCAGCAAAGAAGAATCTCTCCTCCCAGTCGGACGAGTTGGATCCGTTGTTGGAGAACAATGCTCTCGAGGGATGTGCGGTTAGGCATAAGTAGCCCGTGGCCCCGAATGGGTGAACCCGAAAGAAATGGTGGAATAAGTCTACAGAGGGGACCACCGCTACACTATGGCAACGCACTATGAAACCCGCGATCACTCTATAGGATGCGGGGACGAGCTGAGTCGGAGTAACCCGAAGATCCCTAAACAAATTTACATGGAAGCGATGCAGAGGGAATGCTAGACCGGCCACCACCGAATCTAGATGTACAATCACATGGCCAGGCAAATGGCGCATGGGATGACGGTCAGGACGAACGTCGTATCCCCATGGGGGAGGGAACAATTGGCCTATCATAAGCTTGTGGCAGGGGAGTAGGCACTGGCGCTGGCGCCGAATACATGAGAAATTGAGGGAGAAACGGGGAGGTTGTGGAGGCATTCCCCGCTCGTAAAATTTCAGATCGTCCCCAGATAGGCATCCATCATCAATCCTTTCAGTAGATGTGGATGCCGAGCTGACCCGAAGACTTGGGACAATGGCCATATTTTTTAGTTTCTGAGAACTTGAGGATCCTAATTGATTAGACATGCAACGAACGGAGAATAGAAAAGAGGAGTTATTGAAAAATAAGGAAGCCTAGAGAGAGAAAGTAGACTGACAGAGTAACGACCAAAGAAGAAGCAATGACAGATCCTTCGGAAAAAATGGAGTACTTATAAGCAACACCGCCGAGCCTAACCAACCAGGGACGGACACGTGGCAACCCGTGACCGGTGGACCCTGCGGCAAACATGGTGTTTCGATATCCGCACCAGGCAGATGATCACAGATTTGGCATGACCTTGAAAAGGGTAGACGTGTGTCTTCAAGGGGAATGATGGACGCATCTGGGGGATGAATAATGCGTACTGGGACAAAAGCCACGAGGCGGAAATGACCATCGCCATGAAGGCGGCATCCGTAGGCATCTGGAAATAAAGGGCACGCACAGACCCAGAACCTTGATTGATCCAAATCTCTACGTGTTGACAAAGGAATGATAGATGAGATTGGTAAGAAGGGGAAGCACGCCCCCACCACGTGCATCTTCAAGGGGTCATACAGCCCGTGAAGATGAGGGAGGATAGTCCCACGCACGGAGTTGAACACCTTGTGAAAGTTATAGAAAAGAAGAAATAATATTACGCACGGATTCAAGTACTTTGCAAAAAATGGCACAAAAAAAAGAACGAATTCATGGAACAATGTTGGGTAAAACAAAGATTTTATTCATCGGCTCTATTGACCGGAAATATACATCAATCAGAAAAGATGAAAAATGAAATACATCAGAGGAAGCCATGGGCAGGGGAACAACGTTCGGCGGCTTCTGGTTCTACGTCCTCTTCATCAGAGCTCACGTCAGGGGTCGGGGGGTCAGGAACGTTGCCCCTCTTCTCGGCTTCGGCTCTCTTCAGATCCCGATCAACCTGCGCGCAGACCCTCTGGAGCTTCTTTTCCTCTGAATAGTCCTCCAGACCGAAGGATGGACAACCGACCTGAGGAAGGATCACCTTCAAGCCTTTCACACCAAGGTAATATCCCTTGGAAAAGCTGTCATCGGCTAAGTCAAACAGGAAGTCGGAGCCGAGCGACATCCATTGCAGGAGCTGCACCATATGAGCTAGGCGCTCCTTGGGCTTCTTGGCCCGCAGCTCTTCTTCGAAGACATCCCCAACGGTCCCCCTGCAGTATTCATAGGCGGCCGCCATGAAAAGGGGTGTCTGCTTGAACCCAAAGATATCAAGCATCAAAGGAAGAGTGTCGTTGGGGGCAGCCTCGCCCTTAGAGGCCGGAGCGCAGCTAGGAACCAAAGCAAAGCCATGCTTCTACACCATGGCTAGCTTGGCAAGGAGATCCTCTTTCTCCTTCTCAGCTAGATCCAGGGCAGCATGGAGTCTCTTCTTCTCCGCCTGTGCGGCCTCCTCTTTTTGCCAGTGCTGCTTCACGGGTCAACCTCAGAGCCTCATCAGCTATCCTTTTGGTCTCGAGAACATCCTGCTCCCGAGCCGCCTCCGCCTACAGCAGGCTCAACCCAGTCTGGAAGAAAAAGGGAAAGACAGTAAGGGGAGGAACGACTTACAGGAGTTAAAACAATCACAGGTGATGAGTGCGTACCTGGAGGGTCAGTGACAATGCATGGTTGACAGCCTCAACCGAAGTGCGGGGTGGAAGTTGCACCCCAGTCTGAAGAGTAATCTCTCCAAACTTGAGAGACCGGATGACCCAAGGGGGGCAGCACCGTGTCATCGGCCTTAGGACCAGAAGGCTCAGGGCGGGACCTCTTCGCTCTCTTCTCCTTGGCTTTTCCCTACCAGCAGGAGGGGCGAGACCCACCAGCTCCGCATCAATGATCGGGCCGGTTTCAGTGTGTGGGGCCTTCGTGCTTTTCCCCATTACAACCTCGATTAGCTGTTGTTCGGCTTCCCCGGTGCGTTTCTCAGCCTGGGAAGCCGCCGAAGAATTAGCCTCAGAGGCGTAGGCAGCTTGGGCTCTTTCAAGGGCCGCCTGGCGCTTGGCAGCCTTGGCTTCACGACGGGCGATGAGCTGTTCTTGTTCCATTTGCTCGTCGGTAGGGGGGATCTTGAAACAAGAAACAAGAGTGTTAGAACCGGGCGGTGCAAATCCAAGGGGCGCTTACCTCAGGAGCAGGACCGCCCGGGTCCACCAGATAACCATAAGCGAGTGTTTAGTCCAGTGAACACGGGCGGTACCTATCCTGCATCAGAAAGCGCCTTGACAGTAAAAAAAATCCTTCAAGGGCTTGGTTCCGCCCGTCTTCAACTTCTTGACAGCCTCGTCCAGTCCATCAATCAGCTCCGGTTGTCCGATCTTGGGGGAATCCATTCCACCTCACAGGAAGCCGGTCATCCGAGTAACGTAGGAAGAAGAAGTGATTCTTCCAATCATGAATGGAGGTCGGAGCACCCTCAAATAGTTTTTGACAGGGACGAGCGGTCACACTCAGGAACCCATCGGCATTTTGGGGGGTAACCTGGAAGAAGTAGTGGAAGAGGTCCATGCTCGGGGTCACCACATTCGTCGTGCAGCGGATGATAAACACAGAAATGAACCGGTACAAGTTCGGCATGAATTGGGTCGCAACAACTTCGAAGCAACGGAAGAAATCAAGTTAGAACGGGTGGAGGGGGGAGCACAACCCGGCCTTGATAGAATCCATATGCACCATTAACATCCCCGGGCGTCGTCTGGAGAGATTATTCGCGCCCCGGAGGCTGTAGACGAATGGCGGGGGAAGAAGGACATGCAGTTCCTTTAGGTCCTTGCCCGAGAATGACTGTTCAATCCCAACTACGTTGCGTAAAAGTACGATGTGGTGATGGACGTCTATAGGAATACTTATTAATTACATGACACCGATTGTTTTTACTTATTAGTTTTATACCTTTATAGAAGTACTTTAATTCATACCAAAAAATACCAGGATCTTTAATAATCATTAAAAAAATTATAAAATTGCACTAAAACATTTAAATATTAAGATATACTCCCTTCATCCCGAAAAGGTTTGCCAAATTTCCTTTTTTGGATGTCCCAAAAAAATTTGTCATTTCCATTTAAAGTAAGGAATATGTGGCTAAAGTTAATTCTCTCTCCTCTGCACAAATTTCAACCACACAATTTTTACTTTATTAATCCACGTGAAAGTCAAAGTTGACGAACCTTTTTGGGACGGAGGGACTATAAATTTTATTCCTATAATTTGTGAGTTATCGATAGGCTCGAGTTCGAACCGAACTGAATATCACTACGCTCGAGCTCGTTGAGCTCGGGTTGTTAAATTAAATTCGAAATCACGCGCGAACTCGAATACTTCAAAAAAGGTCGGTTTGATAACAGCCTTAAGCTAAACCTTTTGTGCGCAGTAGCCATTTTTTACTACTTAGCCCACCCCACTCCGCATTTCTAGATCCGCCCCTGGTTGCACTGTTTATAAATATTAAGCTTTGCCCAAGAAAAATGAAACGAAATTTTAGCACTCGTAGCCCATCATCTTGCTCACACAACCAGTGAATAAGAGACTTGCTATCAGCCCCAAAACAACTAAACCAAACTGAACTGAAACATGTTAAAACAAAATGGATCAAACCAGACTTCAAAACATTATTAATAATCTAAGAACTCGGAAGACAAAACAGAACCATCATTAAACCAAACGAACTTGACTTGTATTCTGTTTGTACATCTCCAGTTCTCCACCCTGCTCTAAACCAAACCGAATTGAACTTGTAAAAAAGAAGCAAATGATTTGCCCAGTCCTAAGAAATCTGTTGCTTCAAAAATATTTTGTATTTCAGGTCAAATACCCTCACACTCTGTCATCACTCCTTCCATGGAGATCTCATTCCAAATTCAACCCATGTGAGAGTGCTTTCCGGTAATTTATAAACCCTTTTTATTCATTCACATTGATCTTATGCAAAAAACCAGCAAGAAAAAGAAGGGAAGAAGAATAAGGTGAAACTATTTTTACTATTTGTTCCTCAACTCTTGATGGTCTCTGTCTAGGGGCAACATTTGGGTATTTCTATAACTAGTTTCTATAACTAGAGGTTCAAATGAAAATAAGGGTAAGTTAGAGGACAAAAAAGCCAAAGGCAAACCATGAACTATACTTGTGTATCCCCATGTACACTTCTTGCAATCTTTGTGGGGCTTTTACATAAAGATCAAATCTCAACAGTTCACCACTTCTGCAAACTTTTGCCCAACTGCATAAGATAGGTCCTAAGGTTGTATTCCTCTACCTGCTTTTAACACAAGATGCAAACAAGCAGAAGTATCTATAAGAAAACTCCAAAAATGAGTTGAGATAAATGAAACCAATATTGGGTCCATACTCCATAAACAATATGACTTTGCAATGCTTTCCATAGTCATGTTAACTTATATTTTAATGTACAGCACAGATGAATAAAGGAGAGGGAAACCCGAACTTTCTGTTTTCAAGACTACGACATCACCATGATGCAAAATGTTGAAGACTTGTCTCATTGCTAGATATTTATCCCTATTGGTATGTCCGAATCCCAGAAAATGCTAGGGGAAGCTAGAAAGTTATTTTCTTGTGATTGGTTTTACCTCTAAAATTGCAAAGGAGAATAAAATCTGATTACTGTTTTAACTTTTTTGCATATGCTTAAATTTCTTAGTCTTTTAATAATAGAAGGAAATAAATATATAAAAAAAATGACTCTGAAGTCTGAACACAAAATAAAAAAATGCTCATAACTTATTGAGTTTGAGTGGATGTTGTCCCCCCCCCCACACATTTTCTTCCTTAAAAAATATCCCCTACATATAGCATTTTCCAAGCTCCAAACAGATCTTTTAGTGACAGAGTAATCTCGCTTTTGTTTCTAACTCACATGTTCAATGACAAGTAGCTAAGTAACTACAGGAAATCAAGTGAAAAATACTTTATGCACACTAAGGATGTTTTTACTTGGATTGTAATTTGCTGGTCAGGTCTGGTCTATTTAAGTCTGGTCTGGTTTGGTCTGTTTAAGTCTGGTCTGGTCTGAATTGGTCTGGAAAATGTCTAGTCTCCGTGTATTTTATAACTACGGAAGTACAGTTTGGTATGGTGTCATAATGCTCCTTATTGTTGTAAAGGTTATAACATCCCAACATCACCGGGAACTTGATTCTTTCAGATTCGGCATGATTCTTAAAATTGTCAACAACACCAATCTCTTTTATTTCATCAACCTTTTCTTCAACACTGCTACCAAGAGCAAAATTATCAGCCCCTTTCAGTCCCATATCTGAGAAGTCCAAGGATAGAAGCATGACAATCTTGTGTTCATTAGCATCCCTTATGTTCTTTCGAACTGAATGTCCAACGTAGGCCAAATTTTCATCCCTGTACCATCTGTCTTCCTCAGAAAGTATTCCTGACATTACATCTACATTTTCCAGGAATGACTTTGGTGAACAAGATTTAGTTTTCCTATTGTCCTTGCTTTTTCCATCCATATGTACGAGAGTAAGAGAACGAATTTCTGGATTTTCTATCGTCCCTCCAACAGAACGAATTTCTGGAATATAAACCTGAACAACAGATGATTGTTCCTGGCGTTCATTTTCACTTTCCTTGAGCTTAGATGTATTTTCGTCAAGTTGCGTCGAATTCATTTCGTCAGAAGGAAGCTGCGGTCGACTCACATAATTCGGAGGATGCGATGTAGTCGATTGCAAACTGCGAGGGGCGGTTTGCGACCAAACCTGCGCACTCGGATGCTTGGCTAGCGATTGAAAAGTGGAGACTTCTGATTGCGATACAGTATGCGAACTGAGAGAAGTCGTTCGCATCTGCGAAGTAGGATAAACGAAAAACGATGCTGACTGCGAGGACACCAGCGGACGACTGAGAGAAACGGTTTGCGATGACGATCGGTGATGAGAAACACTTCTTGACGAAGCCAGAGAAGTGGAAGGATTTTCTTGCGAGTGAGAAGAAACTGGGATATGCAGAAGGCCTACGACTTTTAGGGCTCCTAGATGGATGTCTGGATGATGTTGGTCCATACTGTTCAGCATCTTTCATCTTGTTCAGCATAGCTTTCATCTCTGCTTTCATCTCCTTCATTCCTTCATACCCCCTCTGTCCCTTTTTAAATGTCCCGGAAGAGGGTGACACGAGTTTTAAGAAAAGTAGGTTTGTGTGGTTGATATTATTAATAGATAAAGTAAGAATAAAGTAAGAATAAAGTAAGAATGATTTTGAGCCACTCAAACTTTACCAAATAAGGTATGAGACAATTAAATAGGGACATCCCAATACGGTAAAATGGGACATTTAAAAGGGGACGGAGGGAGTATATCTCTTTCATCTGTTTTCCATTCGAGGTGTCATATAGAATTCCTCCATCCCTCCCGGTTGTTGATGCTCCGGGATGATGGATGATTCCGATTCTCTGCCTCCAGGGAGCGGCGTGATCTGATACCAATGTTATAACACTGGTAATTCTGACTTAGAATTGTAAAGAATCAGTAACAAATTGAATGTGTTTATTGATGAAAGATGTGTTTACAGAAGGAATTCAACTAAATACTTGCCCACCTTCTCCTTTTCCCCTTCCTTTCTCTTTATAGTACTTCTATTTCTTTAAGGGCTGGCCCATGGCCCAGAATCTTCAGTTATTCACTATTACACTCTTTAATACTATTCTAATATTCTTATTAGTATTATTGTCTATGTTCCTATCATATATTATGCTTCTCCAGCTTCCCCAACATATTTGTCATTGTTTGCCGTTTCTAAATAATCAACAAGAACTAAACGTGACCATATTTTAAGGCATATTGCTTTCAACATTTCTATAAGTATGGTTTTGAAGCACTGCTTTTGTATATACCCAGTAGCTTTTTCAAATACATGTATTGAAGAATCATTTTTGTTATTAGAATTTCTTAAAGCCAAAATTTGGTGAAATATGACTAAACCAGATGTGAAAACTAGCACTACACAGGGAGGTGCCAGGACAGGACAGTGTATGCAACCAAATTTGTAACATCACCTGCATTTTTGCTGTTGGAGCCATTAATAATTCAAATTCATCAAGCATGGCTCTCTCTTGTGCCACAATGCCAGCAAGTTCTGAAACCAGAGAGCTTGTTCCCTCCAGCTGTCACATGCATGACATGAAATGCCAAATCCCCAAATTAGATAAATTTCAGGTTTAAATGCACACTTATACTTTGTTGTAAAGAATAAGTGTTTAAAATTATTTAAACCTAACCCCACATAGGCCACAACTGACACCACAGTGCCATTGAAATGTAACTCGTCGGCTCATCAACGCGGCCCACACCCCCAAAAACAATAAGAAAGAAAGAAGAAAAAAGAGACCATATAACTGCATGCATCATGTAATTAGATAATTCAGATTCAGCCTCTTGTATTTTGTAATTTAGCAAACAAAATACATTTATACATTTAGTTCGTAGTCCAGCACCTGGGTGCTAGCTGCGTGTTTGTTAATTGAATGTCCAAAGCTATCATTTGTAGTAAAACATCTGAGGATTTTTTTACATCAAAGATCATAAAATGGCCTACCTGAAATTAGTAAAACTACTATTTTTACATTATCTGGAAAGATCATAGATGTGATTGCAAGGAATAATTTATGATACTCACTTGCGAGAGCATTAAATATATTGATGATTCCACATGCTGCATGATAACAAAAGCTGAGCAAATAGTTGACTTTACAGCTTGAACATCACCCTATATCAAGCAGATAAAGTATTAAATGTATTTTGTATACATGCATTTCTTTTTTAACCCATCAACTTTAAATGAATATTGATTGATGAAATTCTCTACCTTTGCCCCTAATGTCATGGGAAGAAGCAGAACGCATGCTTTCATATCTTGGCTAGCTTGCAGAACTGAACGTATATGGTTCCTTTCAATTGTAGCCCATTTTTCGAGGTAGGACATCTGATGTACATTGAAGCAGTTTCAAAACTATGCCAGTAAGACACTAGTCATAGTAACAAACAATGGCTCTATCTATAAGGAACAAAATTTCAGAAAGATCATTACCTGTTTATTCAAAATTGACCATAACTTCAACTCTAACCTCAGCTGTTGAAGCTCAATTCTCATCTGAATGATTGTTTGCCACAAATTTGAAGCAGCTTTCCATACATTATATACCTTTTCCTGCAGCCAAAATTGAAGTCGGACTAAAACCTGGTCGAATAGTAGATTGGAATGGATAAATAAGAAATACTCAGAAAATAAAGAGCCAACCTGTGTATTAACATTCTCTGCAAGTATTGCAGCATCTGCTTTCGCATTAGCATATTGCCATTGCAAATATCTATTCTGTAATAGTCCAAGTCGATGAGCATCTTCTGTTTGATGATTTTCATCTTTTTCCCTTATATTCACAACAAAATTGAAGGCTGGATTGGGAAGTCTCGATGGGCTAGATGGCCTAACCTTAGAAGGACTAGCTCCTCTTGATGGAGCACTTGGTAGAGCCTTTGTTTGAGACGAGATTTCTTTAGATACATAGAATGACATAGCAGATGCTTTATTTGGCGAGGTAGGACGAGATCTAGTGCCACGATTCACCAACTTTGCTCTTTCCCTAGGTATGGACAAAGAATTATCATCAAGTGATAGTTTTCTTTTGTTTTCAAGTTCCACCGAACTACTACCAACCAAATGAATCCCTGAGTCTCCTTCTGAACGTTCATTTGATAGTATTAGTGATAGCATGTCACCAGATGAGCTTTGGAGTGGTTTAGTAGCTCCATCCAAAGACAGTGCTCGTGATGGAGCTAAAAAAATCGATGCCCCACTTGTTATAGCCTTCATGTCAGATGGATTAACTCTTACAGGCAATGACGAGGGAGGCAATGTAGGTGTTCTGATTGGTGAGGTATGGCGAGATAGAGAACCAGGATTTACAGTTAATGTTTTTTCTCTTTGTGATGGTTGTGAATCTATTGAAAAAGAACCGAACCTTACTTTCTCTCCTGTTGTAGTTCCTATCATTGTTCTTTGCCATCTACTCTGATTTAACACCCGAAAATTTGAACTGTCTGTTGAACTATAACTCTCTGAATGAAATCTCACACCTTCTGTAGAAAATTTCTGTAGTGGTCTGGAAAGCTCATCAGTTTTACCTCTATTTGAAGAATCAGAACTTGCTTTCCCACATATTCTACCTGGCCACCTGTCCAAAAGCTCAGAGTGTAGACTACTCAATGATCTGGTATTCGATGTCATTGACAAAGATTGCGCATTTCCTCCAGTTGGTGATCCATTACTTATTTTCAGTGAGTTATCATCAACTGAACGAAACCCAAAGTCTTGTTTCTCATTTCTTACAAACGGTAGTGGTCTTGAAGATTCATCTTGGGCTGGTCCATTAGCTGCATCCAAAGACAGTCTTTGTAAGAAAGTGCTTCTGATCCTGAAAGAGTGTGATGTATCAACGTGTTTACTTTTTCCTCTTTTCTCATATGAATACCTTTTTCCATTGATTCTGAGGAAGGTTTACCTTCTGACGTGCTTGACCGTCTATGAAGATCCGTCATCCTATAATTCACAGAAAAAGCATCTGAAGGTCTAGAATTCTCTGTTTGATCTGCAAAACTGTTTCCTTCGTGAGAAACTCTCTTCTTTTCAGATGAGGGTTTTCTTAGTGGTTCGGTCTGATTCTGGATGGCATTTGCTGGTTGCTTCAACACATGATTTGACAAAGCCCCGGGTGATGTTTTTTCACCCACTGAAACCACTTCGGCCTGCATGAGATTTGGGGAAAGGCTACGCCTGGCAGATAGATCAATGGGTGACCTGAACCTGGAACCGAATTCTCTGGCTAGATAGCGCCGGCGAGTGGTGGTTCCATGGTTTTTTCCTGGGGCTCCCGAGTTATCCTCCATTGTTCAATGGTTCTCCTTTAATGCTTTATATGGTAAATGCATAATCCTTCTTTGTAATTCTCTCCAGCTGATGCCCTCTGTGAATCATAATTGAATAAAAATATCTAGCAGGATTTTGTGAAAGGGGCACTCAATCAAACACCCTGCAGGCTGGCATTCACAGGAACATCATTTGATGCTATTATAAATTGCCATAAAATGCCGAATGTATTGAGTGAAGGGTGATTAACCATGGCTTGCGAAACGGGTCAAGACTAGAATTCTAAAAATCGAGTCAAATTGACAAGGTCAATGTTCTTTTCTTCGCACGAGAGATTTGCGATTAGCCATTGCATTGATTATTGTTAGGTAGTTTCAAAGAAATCCTCAAAATTCGACTTTAATTTTCTCTTGCTGCGATTCACTCTCCCCATCTCCATTTCTTTCTTATCAACCGGAACTTGAACAGCAGGCAACAACCATCTTTCATTTCCGTCACTCTCTTACAATTCTCTCTCCCCATCCTCTCTCTTTCTTTACTTCCGTCCTTCTGCTGATCATGAACTTATTATTCTCTTGAAAAGAGGCAAATAAGCCCTCGAACTAATAGAAAAAGTACAAATCATCTCTTTTACAGGATACTCTGTCCGGCCGTCATCATTTGGAGCGTTTACCGGTGGATTTTTTTGATGAATGTTTTTTAGCATCTTCTTCATTAAGTCTAGTTTACCCGTACCAAATTTCAGCTAAAAATGCAATCGGGAAGGCAGTCAAATAAATGTTTGATGATAACTGCGCAGTTAAACTGCGCACTATATTTCAGAAAATTATTTGACTACCTTCTATGTTGAATTTTTAGCTGAAATTTGGTACGAGTAAACTAGACTTAATGAAGAAGATGTTCAAAAACATTCATAAAAAAATTCTACCGGGAACCTCCGAAAATGGCGACGGCTAGACTGACCCTCATATAAAATGGGTGATTTGCACTTTTTCGATTATTTCAAGGGCTTATTTGCACTTTTTCCCTTCTGTAAATAAAATGTAATTGTATTTGGGAAAATTCTATGGGTTGTTACTCCATCCCGTTCATGTCAAAGTTTTTGTAATGGTGCGAAAATGACTTTTTGATACTGTACTAATAATTTACACATTTAAAATGTGTACTGTCTAATATTTTTGAGTAGATTAAATTCCAGAAAAAAGAAGTGACAATAATTTGGAAATGTGCTATAAAAGAAAGCGAAATGTGAATAATGGAATGTATTACTGTGCATTTTTCTTCGCCCCTCCTTCGCGCACCACAAGAATCGATGGGGCACTTTATTTCTCTCATGATCGGACAAAAATGTCCTCTTTGATTTATTAATCATATTGATACCTCTGTATTTGATTTAATTTCATACTGCATCATTCACTTATGAGACGTCAGCCCCTAAAAATTCTCAATCCATGGGCAAACACTTACTACATTTATTTTTAATAAAATGCTATTTGTAATTCGTACAACTTTTGCACTTCTACCATGTTTTTCATAAACAATATATAAAATTAAATAGTTTTTAATGGGTTTTAATATGAAACTAATATTTCATGTGTAAATTACAAAAAAAAATCATGTTTGTTTATTCTAGTTGAAGGGCTACTAATTTGCATTTTACTAAAGTATTAATCGAGAAGACATTAGTTTATAGGTTTTTTTCATGAATATTACTAAATTAAATTCAAAAGATAAAAATATGACTTATTTTAAAATTTTCTAAAAAGTGACATATTTAGTGACTAGTTCACAGTGTCTTGTCATCTACAATGACTTGTCATTCTAAAATACGGTATAATGACTAGTTCACAATGACTCATACATAGTGTCTAGTCATATTTTTATTCAAAAACATAAATAGCTATGTTTTTGTCCGTCAAACTCTATTAGTAATATTCATGTTATATTTTCTAGTTATAAGAAGGCAACTTTGAAGTATACATATTAATTTGACCAAAATTCAAATATTATGAATCATTAATATTTAATTATAATGGCGATAAGAATTTGTTTAGTTGGACTGAAATTTTCTTGTCTGGTCTTGTCTAATTTGATATGATCTGGTCTAACCTATATACGTCCAGTCTAGTATAGTATAGTTTGGTCTCAAATGGTTTAGTTAGGTAGATTTATGTTCTATGTTTATCATACAGCTATCAAAGTTTGGTTTGATTTGATAGTTATATTATGCATGTAGAATAATATAAATATATTATGCATGTAGAATAATACAACTATCTAAGTTTGGTTTACCAGACCACGTCGTATTGACTTAGACAGAGTAGAAAAATCCGGTCTAATTAAAAACATCCTCATTGATATTATAAATATAAATTAATGCTGCCCAATAAATGTGTTTCCGTCAAATTAATGTGTATACTTCAAAATTTCAATTGTGCCTTCTCATAATTTAATGTCTCTTAAATTAATACTCCATTTGTCTCTTAACATTTGCCAAATTTCAACGGCACGCAGAGAATAATAGGAAAACTGTGTAGTTGAGGTTTGTGCAAATGAGAAAAAAATAATTGAAATCGTGACAATTTTGGAACAAAACAAAAATAAATATGAGAGAATTTTAAGCGATGGAGGAAGTACTTTAGTGAAATACACATTTACTAGTCGTTCATCAAACCAGAATAAAAAACATGATCATGATTTTAAAAAAAATCACATATGTAATATTAGTATCATATGAAAAATTACAAAAATCTTTAAATTGATATATATTTTGTAAAATGAGAGTGTGAATGAAAATGTTATAACATTTTATAAAAATAGTACACCATCTTTACCACATGGCTGAAAACTATTGGATAATGAATCAATTTTTCAATTGATTAAAATTTATGGATGTGCATGTGAAACTTGAGGCGGAGTTTTAGCTTGCATAGCAACTCTCTTAGCTTTATACTCCGTATATACAAAGCGGATGGATTTTATTATTATAATAACAAAAAAACTAAACAAGGGACATTTTTGTCAAAATGGGGTGCACATAGTAATCTGGGAGGTGCGTAAAGTAATGCCATTTTTCTTTGATGGGTATATATTTGTGTTATAATTTCTCTTTGTGAGCTATTCATACGATTCTTTGATTAAGATTTTTTACATCTATTTAAGTAAAAATATCGTAACATTCCATTGGCCCTATTTTATAAAAACACTTACAAAACTGTCTCCTAATATGAATCTCACTGACATTTTATGTTTTCCACATTACCACTTTAATTATATATCTTAGAATTCTGGCAAAACTCAGATATATATTTTATTTTGAAGAATATGGAGTAATGAACAACATCTTAATAAATTAATGTGAAAGAATGGCCTCTATATTACTATTACACTTTGGAATTCCAAAAACATGATTCCTTTTTATTTTTCCCAAAAAGTGACCTCAGTCATTAATGTCGTACGTCTATCCAATTTCAACGCACCTGTTTTTGCTTTCTTTCCGCCGTTTTCCTCTCTTCCATTAACGCCATCAACGCACTTGCTCATTTTCTACCACCTTCATCTCTTTTCTTACTATTTTTCCTCTTCTACGGTATATCTCTCCTTCTCTCGACGGCGCTACATCTCTCTCGCATTCGTTGAATACCAAAAAGGAATCGTTTGGCACTCGCAGGTAAGCAGTAGAAGTTCTGCTAATTTTTTGCGAATATCATGTTTAATATACGATTTCTTTACAGTTTCTACTCTTATTTTTGATTTCCATGTCTTTCTCACTCTAAAACCCTAATCTAGAACTCCAATATGGGCAGTTCAATGCATAAAAGATAAACATTACTTCATATTTGAATATGTCTTCGGCTTCTGTGTCCATGGTTCTTGCATGTTGTTTTTTTGCCTTTAAATTAACTTAAATGTGTTATTCATTTTTTGCCATGATTTTTTTCTGAATGATTTGTTGTTGCTTTGGTCTCGGAGTCTTTTTACCCTTTTTGGACTCAGATTGAATTTAGTTAATATTTCATCAACGTTTCATGATTCTGATTTTGACTTCAATTGCAAATATTATGGTTGTTGTTTTTGTGAAATGAGCGTTTGTACTCACGTGTAGCACATGTTTGTTCAAATTAACAATTACATTTTGCTTGGTGATGCATGTCAAGTAGTCACTTAGCATTCAAAACTAGTTCATATTCAGGACAGACATATCAGTTTTTTGTTTTCATTGTGTTAGTTCAAGTAGTTACTTGTTTTTAGTAACTGAGGTGTGAAAGTGATACATACATTCACACTTACACGTACATACTTCACACCTCATATGTACATCAAGACTAGAAATATAATATTGCAAATCTGTACTTCCTCGTTTTCAAATATCATAGTTATTTGTATATTTTTTATTTCATCCTTTGTGTAGTGATGGGTGACAATGACTTCGAGTCCACGCATCCCCTTGTACATTCAGCTTCTAATGGCCTCCATAACGAGGAATTAGTAAGTTTTTTTATCCTATACTCATTTTCTATATCACATCACATAAACAATTCATATACCACTTTTTCGCAGTATGCGGTATGACTATGTGCTTGTGTTAATATGTTTTCAGGCAGACAAAAGATATTTGGACAAAGCCATTGTGAATGTCGATTTAAAAAGGAAGGTCAATACCTTTTGTAGGTTGTATGATGCCATCAATCTAGTTAGGTCTAAATTGCTTCCTAATCAGCTAGAACTGTTTAGGAAAACTGTTTTTGGGAAATTCCTAGATGCCAAGGAGATGTTATGTTCTGGGCTACTTTTGCATTTTCTTCTGGGTAACTTGCTTGACGTTGAAGTAGGCAACAAGCAGTGTCCTAGGGATTTTGTTTTTGAAATTGAGGGTAGGAGGGTAGTATTCTCTATATCTCACTTGGCTGAAATTTTTGGATTCAATATCGTTGATAACATTCCTCAAGTAGACAATGAAGTCACTGAGAGGGGTCGTATATGGAAAAAATAATTCCCCTCTTGCTCTAAATCTGTAAAGCGAAATGCTATTAAGCAAGTCTTACAATCTATAAAAAGGGGTAGTGTGTCGGATAACGACATAGTTAAGTTGTCTCTCCTACATGTCTTATCTCAATCTTTTTTAGTGGCTGAAGGTCAAGTCACTGTCAAAGGTAAGTACCTTAATATGGTAGATAACTTGGAAAACTTTAACAAGTATCCATGGGGACGTGTTATATGGGATGACATGGATACCTATTTTAGAGCATCTGTTGCAAGCATGAAGTCCAATCCTGAGCACTACAATATATATGGATGTGTCCTTGCTCTTCAAATTTGGGCTTTCGAGTGTTTCCCAATCCTGACAGACATTGAACTAGCTCAATGTGTTGACCCAACTGCCCGTCCGCTTTGCTTGAAATGGACTTCCACAACTAAAACGATTTCAGATGTTTTAAAGAACACCATTTTATGTAAGAAACATGTAAGTCTATTGTTTAATTTTTTGTTTAATGAATTAGTGCTTACATTACAAGTCATCATCCTAATCCATGACTTCATTTCAC